TGCCTGGGTCCACCCAATTTTTACCAAACTGGCTGCCTGGGTCCATCCCATATTTACCCAACTGGCTGCTTGGTTCACCCCATATTTACCCAGATGGGTACTTTGGTCCACGCTATATTTACCCAAATGGTTGCCCCCCCCATATTTACGCCACGGGCTGCCTGGGACCACCCTGTTTTTACCAAGTAGGTTAGCTCCAATATATATTTCAGAAAATTTCAAGTCAAAGTAAATAAATCTCCTCGATACATACTTGTAAATTTCTTGTACATTTTGTTCAATTTGTGATTGCGGAGAGAACTTCAGTTCCTCACAGGCTTGCCAGAATCGTATATTTTCTTGACTGTACTCTTTTCTTAGAAACATTTCAAATTCATGTCTGCCTGTTGCATCTGATAACAATTCTTTGAGACTAATGGCCCATCTCTTGACACGTCGCTCAGTTGGAATGTCAACCCTGAAAAAAACAAAACATTATCATTCATACAATCATTTGAAAAGTGTAGAATTGTTTACTGAATCACAAGATTGTCAATGTATTCAAAAACCTAATTCTATGAATTGCCAAAAAGATATTGTTGTGTAAAATTCAATGCTACATGGTGAATATTTTGTACTTTTTCATGTGTACTGTAAACGCAATACTTGTTCACTGGGTTTTAATTTCACTATTTTTGCTGAAAAGTAAAATCCGCTAAATTAAAACATGTAAAATAATAATAGATCTCATTGTTTTTTGTCAAATTTATGAACTTAAAGCCTAGTGAAAACGCTCAAAATAGTGAAATTAAATGTTAGTGAAAATAAATGGTTTTACAGTACCTAATATCACTTTCCATAATAACATAAAGAATATATACTTAATCTACAACAATTTAGGGCCCTTTATTATCCAGAATGGACCATCAGAAATTCAGTGAGGGGGGGGGGGGAGAAAACTGCATATATGTTTTTCATTATTTTTACAAATTTAAAGAAATTTATTAAAGATATTTATTTCCTAAGATTTAGAAGACGTCGTTGTTAGATTTTCTAATGGTCCAATCTTTGGAACATGTTTATTTTGTACAATTGTGTGTTAATCAATCATACCATGAATACTATGTATGATTAAAGATGGCAGGCTGATGAGAGCAAAGCATGGACATTGAGCCAAGCATCCAAACATTTTCAAACAGATTTTCACATTTTTGAATGATTTCTATAATATTCATGTGATTTTTAACTCATACTTTGTAAACGTTGCTGAAAATTCAATCATAAATATGTGTTAAGTTTTGATCATTCAGATGTGAAACTAGTGATGATTGTGCCAATTATATGCATCCCTGTAGAGGGCGCTGTTTAGATAGCAACTTACAGCACAGTATTAAGGACCCACATTGTGGTGTCATCAGTCACCCATGGATTACTAGGCTGGGCTCCAGATATGATGGGATCATGCTCTGCATACTGCTCACAGTGTTGTATAAGGCTGCAAATAAACACAACATCCAAGTTACAAGAGAAATTTGTGCCTGTGAAATGCCTCTGCTCCATAATTTACATCTTTACAGTATCTATGGTCAAAATGAGTCATATGTTAATAATAACATTATTACACAACCAAAACCATCAGAGGGTTCAGAATGGTAAAAATAACAAAAGACTAAAATAATAAAACTAACTAAATAACGAGTAAAACATTAATAGGACAAAAAAGATAAACAAAATAGAGGTAAAGTAAAAAATACTGAAACTGACATTGCATAGAAAAGACATTGGTTCTCTCGTGAGTTACCGGTAGATGTGTATTTACATAATTAAGTGATTCCATTGATTAATTTATTTTTCAAAAATTTAGAGAGGACAAGGTCATGCATGCATCATTATTTTAAGAAAAACATGACATGTTAATGACATGTGGTTCTATTGATAATGCGCTTATGGAGCAAATATGGTGTCTGTGAAACAAACAATTTTGAATTTCATTTGATGCCTGGCTTAGACAGACTTCAGCTGTACTCACACTGGGAACACTGCCCTCTATGGTGAGATTCTTTGATAAATAACAAAAATGTACCTTAATGCCAAAATAAGGCAATGGTATAACTCATAACTATAGAATAGAATATCTAAAACTTGATGATGACAATATCCTTTATTATGGAGAGTAAAATTTATCAAAGAGCTGTATCATATTCAATGTGAGTCCCATGTGATAGTTTCTCACTATTTTCAATTCAAAGTTTCACTGCATAACAAATGTATTGATTTGATATTTATATTAAAATGAATCACATTAGTTATGCAAGTATTCTGTGGTCAAAAGATGGAAGCAAATTTAAGTGTCAGTATCCATATACTGTAAATGCATTAATTATTCACTGGGTTTTAATTTTTCTATTTTCGCTGAGAGTAAAATCCGCGATATTAAATCTACGTGAACATGTAAAATAATAATAAAACTCATTGTTTCTAGACAAATTCATGAAATTATAAACAATCAAACATCAAAATAGTAAAATTAAATGTAAGTGAAAATAAATGATTTTACAGTATTTTGATTGATATGTTGCTTTACAGTACAAGAGGGAGACATAGTGAATGTGTTACTCACTAATGGATTGCTTTAGAAGTTTTTAATCTAGGTCTCTGTAACGCTCTCTGCAGATATGCAATCTGAAAAGACAGCAAAGACATTAAAATTACATTTTTCTAGGTTTATAACAAAATTAAAAGCAAATTATCAATTTTTACAGATTATGTCTATGAATTAATGGATTGTACAACTTCCTCATTATATTCCAACAAGTTCATTTAGGGAAATGCTGTGGGGAAAAAAATTCTGTTGCCTAGTAACATTCTAGTGTGCAACCAATTTGAAGAATGCTAGCACCAACATTCTGAGTAAATTTATTTCACTCAGTTTCAAACTCTACACTTCAATGAATGATGTGTTACTATAAGTGTAAGTATTTGTACTGCAAGTAATGATTTCTAAGAATGACCTACATTTAAAATGACTCTGTAAATGTTTGGTTAGATGTTATTTAATCCTGACTCAAACGGCATATGTGCCAGTTTCCTTGGTAACTAATATACTTGAATCAACATTTTGTAAGTGAGCATTTGATCTATGAATACAATTTTTATATTTGATAGAAAGTATAAATTGTACATAACTTATCTTGAGATATTCTTACCTGTTTTTTGTAGTCTTCCAGTGTCCTACGTTTCTTTACATTATATGTAGTCATTCGACAGTTTCTCTTGATACTTGACTCCAGTGAATTGATTTGCCCAGGCTGGTAACAATAAACATGGTCAAACATTTAATTTAGTTTTCCTCACAGGAATTATTTATTTACTTTAAGGGAATCGCTTTTTGCTATCAAATAAATCATCTAGACTAGGTACTTCCTTGGGTACTCCTTTTCAAGCCAAAATGCAAAAAAGATACCCCTTCACAGACAATTTTGTGAAAAATGTCTACCCCTTCCCAAACAATGGTTCTTTTTGGACACATGTTACGAATTTCCTAGTATATGAGCTGTTTATCTGCCACAATTATATTGTTCAAACAATGTTTTTTGAGCATTATATTTGTAATTTCAGTAACGAATGCTAAAATTATAGACCACATTCCACACTATGGCTAAAAAAAACAGATCACATATTTATAAAAATTACCAATTACAGAAACCTCCCCCTCCATGAGTGTCTCCCATAATATTTCACAGAAAAAAAACTAATGAAAGCCTCTACAAACTGATAAGTCAGTTCAAAGTGCGCCCTCATGTGGTACCTCTATTTTTTATTTTCACAATACATTTCAGCAGACAATAGACCACTTTCCCAGAAGTAGAATGACTGGGTTGCAGAAATATGCAAAAAATACAAACATGTCAGTTTGCTGACATTCGATGGAAAAGAATTGGTACACCCAGAAGCACAATATCATGTATGCAAGTTTGCGTAACACCCCAAACTGGTGTGAAATGGAGCGAAATCTTTGTCTTCCAGGAAAGTTGTCTATGTGAAAATCAGAACCATTATTTCTGTACATGAGGTTATTTTCTGTAAGGGAGCAATATCTAATTATCAGCACAATGAAACAAAATCAATTGTAATGATTGCTTGTATTTGGTGTCTAACTTACAGGCGGCCTGTGAACCCTCCAGAAGGCTCTCTCTTGACTATCAAGTACAATTTTATCAGATTTCTTTCTCTGCTTAGCAATTCTGAAAAACAATAATCAAAATTTATTCTAAAATAAAATAAAAGAAAAGGACACCAATATTTTTGAAATTTTTTTCTTGAAAAATATGATTACACAAAACACCTCATTTTTTTGGTACACATTTTTTCTTGACTCAGCAATATTTTTTCTTCAAATTTTTATACCTCAAAATAAACTCTAAAAAAAAAATTAAAATAATCTCTGACAATATAACCACACAATTCAGAAAAAAACCAACTACACTGATTAAAACAGGAGAGGTTTACAGTTGATGTTCGCACAGGGCTGTATGAAAAGGATATGTGATTCCCCTAAAACACCATCTATGGTTCCAAATTTTCAACCCATAATCCTTAGTAAAATTCAAAATGGTGGACACATTTTCACAGTATTTTAATTTCACTATTTTGATATTTGATCATATTCATATGGTTTTGAATTCACAGATTTGTTAGTATTAATAAGTTTTTTGGTAATTCTTCATGTTCGTGTGTGGATTTCAGTTCTCTTATTTATCAGCGAAATTTAAACATAGTGAAAATATAATGCATCGACAGTATTTGTATAACTATATACTACTGAAAAAGATTTGAATTAACGAGAAACAAACGGGTGAATATTATTTTTAGAAATATTGTAGCAGTAACTTTCATAAAATTATATTTTCTAAATCATGATATTCTGCAACAATAAATAAACTATGGATGAATACTATAGACAAAATCATATTCATTCTGGTAATGATGTGATACATAGAAGTATCTAACATGTATATACCTGATTTGTTCCTCTGCCTGCATGTAGACAAATTCCCATTTATGACACAACATCCTTTGCAGCTTAGTAAATGCATTCTGTAACAAAACACATGATGAAATAAGCAGATCAATGTGTGGGGCCTCTAAAAAAAACATTGCTTACTTTTTAGGAACATAACAATTTATTATAACAGCGCCACACAGTGTCAGAAAATATTAGTCTTTTGTTTAATTTGCTGATTGTGAATGTTGCTTCCTTTATTGGTGAATGTGTGAAAATGTGTCTTGTATGATACATGTATATTCCAAGTTAGCAAACGATTGTTGTTTAAAAACAGGCAAGACAGTTAGATGGTGAGAATTATTCATTATATTTGCTCTATTAGAAGTACATCTCCAATAGAAGTGAATATAAATCATTAAAATATTACCTGTTTTGATCATAGAGAATTCTGTACTACAAATAAGTGAATGCACTTCTAATAGAGCAACTAAAGTAATACCAGAGATAACATGTGGTATTACAAGAAGTAGTATTTTATCATTACACATGCACAGTGTGAAAAAAATATCAATATGGCTATGAAACAGGCCACATGTTATGTCAGCTATCACACATATGTGCAACTAGAACAACACAACAATTGTGAAACTAACTCTGAGCATATTGCACGCACTTCAGGATATGTTCTCTTTATTTTCATGGAATATGCAAAAATTTAATGTGGGAATTACGAGATACTAAACAATTTTTCTAGCTAAATTATTGACTTGAAATATAAGATGAAAATTCACAGACTCCACTATTAGAATTGGTTCATTAGCGAAAAAGAGTAAAATATCGTGAATTTGAATAGTTTCGTTGTCAATATCAATAATGATTATGTGAGTTCAAGTTTATATTACAAAGTATAACAGGGGCACGGTTGTTATTTGTAGATCCCGGGTAAAAAAACTAACACCAGAGTAAAATAATAGCACAGGTTCAAGAGATATCACGTGGTGTAAAACGAATATATGGCAAATATCATTGTTGCTTATATGATAATAAATTGTCTTATAAATTAATTTGTAATTAATTGAAATACTCACTGTTTCATAGTCATCTAGTCCGTGTCGCTGCTTGTTTCTCATAGAACGCTTGGCAAGATAAATAGCTAAAAATATGCAAGAAAGTCATAAATATACAGCATGCAAATTAATATTACAGATATGATATTATCTGGTCTGTACGAATAATATAGCGAGGATATACACTTTATCACATCTAATCTAGATTTGTCTTCTGTTTCCAAAAGAAATGGACATCATAAATGTCCATTTACTTCATAAGTAATCAGGGAACTAAACCACTCTTTGAATCCTAATTTATTCATTATGCCCATACTATGCGGCATCTAACTAGCCATCTGTAACAACAATACCTCGCTTCGTCATCAAAAGAGTTTATTTTAAACTCTGCAGTTATTAACACTATATTGTTACAATCATTGTGTAAACAATTCCCACTTAACTCAAGTTTGTTGACATAAATGAAATGTATTTGCTCAGTATTTTCCACAAAATTACACATTGATTGAAGTCCATTTTTGATAAATGAGTTTTGGGTTCCACAGTTGCTAGGCCACGACATGCATGACGAGTCAATCAGAAGTACTACACTTTGTGTAATCCAGAATTTATATTAGTATAGTTTTATACAGAAATTTCTAGCTTCAGTTTTATATCGACCTTGTAGTTTTTGTTTGGTAAACACCCATGTTTCTTTAAAAAATTATGAAATGTTCATAAAATATGAAAAATTATTTTTTTTTGTTTTAAACACACTGACTAAGTAGAACAAAATTGTTGTCGCTTTAGTATCCATATGTAAATTACAAGACATATCTCAGGGCAAGTTTTAGCACCAAAGTCAATTTCTGTTTCATTCAAAACCTATGTATTTTTTTTTTTGTGATTTTTTAAAAATTTTTATCAAGACTTCTAGCCAATGGAAAATTATGTTCATTTGGTCCAAAATTACCAAAAATATTTTAGAAAAATAGATAAAAAGTGGCACCATAATTTTGAGAAAAATCATGGGGCTCAAAAGGAAACTAACCTGTAAACTGCAGTGAACAGACTCAGGAATGACTGGTTATGAAAAATAAATTCCCCACCCCCTCTCTCTTTGCTATCACAAAATGCAAACTACACACATAATGCAAATGTAGCACCCAAAGATCTCAAATTTCATCTTCTATTCATTCTCAATCTGCTTTTAAAATACTTTATTTCTGCTATTTTCACAGAAGGGATGATGCAGTGAAAATACAATCCAGCGAAAATATCTTATTTTCCTATATTTTATATTCAACTCATCAAAAATCAGTGAAAATAAACTCCATACAAAACATCCAAAAAGGCTCTTCAGCTATTTAAAAATAAAGTATTTCACTGTATAAAAATAATGTTCAATTTCATGTTCTAGAGTTCTAAATGAAAATAAAAATTGTCAGAACTCACCGTACTTACCATAGTCAGCATTATCAGGATCCCAATTCTGTGACGGCCAGAAATAAGGACTTTGGAATCTGTACAATGTACTGTCATCTTTTACAACTAAGTTTTTGATATCCTGAACTGGAAATATGTATCCGTACTGGCAAAATAGATTAGCAAGGTGCAGTGCTTCTATAGAATCTTGAATGTCTAAATTTTCCATTAGCCATTCTATCAGATCATAACCTGTAATGAACACAAATATCGAGTCATTAACATATAGTTGAATTAGGGACTGTCACATGATTACTAACGTACAAGACTGAAAAAATTGACAAATTTTATGACAAAACTACCATGTGACACTGAACCCTGTTAATATATATCAATTGCTTAATCCTGTCGGGATTTTGAGATATCTAATACCTTGAATATATTTAGTTCTACCTTGACATATTTAAATAATAAATTAAAATTTCAATTCTGTACTCATATGTGTCTTGTACTATCACACCATAAAAACTAATTGAGAGAAAAGTTTATATATACACTTCTCAGGCCATTACTACTTTATTAATTCAGTGATAAAAACAAGAAAGTAGTCCCATGTGCATTTCACTAATTACACACATAACTTTGTGTTGTGAAAAACAAAAGAGGAACCCCATGAGAAATATTGTGTATTTATCTATTTTTTACTTCAGTGAGATTTGTCTTGTGAGTCCCACAACATAGATAGATTTGTAGAGTGAAGAGTGAAAAGATATTTTCAGATCTACATACACTGTATAATCCTTGTTATAAGGAACTCTTTGGATAACATAAAACTAGTGTTCACTATAATGAAGCACATAATACGTTGTTTGTTATAGTGAAGTGTTCACTATAATGAAGCACTTAATACATTGGGTTTGTTATAGTGAAGTGTTCACTATAAGGAAGCACATAATGCATTGGGTTTGTTATAGTGAAGTATCCACTATAATGAAGCACATAATACATTAGGGTTTGTTAAAGTGAAGTGTTCATTATAATGAAGCACATAATACATTGTGTTTGTTACAGTGAAGTGTTCACTATAATGAAGCACATAATACATTAGGGTTTGTTAAAGTGAAGTGTTCATTATAATGAAGCACATAATACATTGGGTTTGTTAAAGTGAAGTGTTCACTATAATGAAACACATAATACATTGGGTTTGTTATAGTGAAGTGTCCACTATAATGAAGCACTTAATACATTCGGTTTGTTATAGTGAAGTGTTCACTATAATGAAGCACTTAATACATTCAATTTGTTATAGTGAAGTGTTCACTATAATGAAGCACATAATGCATTGTGTTTGTTATAGTGAAGTGTTCACTATAAGGAAGCACATAATGCATTGTGTTTGTTATACTGAAGTGTTCACTATAATGAAGCACATAATACATTGTGTTTGTTATAGTGAAGTGTTCACTATAAGGAAGCACATAATGCATTGGGTTTGTTATAGTGAAGTGTCCACTATAATGAAGCACATAATACATTAGGGTTTGTTATAGTGAAGTGTTCATTTTAACGAACCACATAATACATTGGGTTTGTTACAGTTTAGTGTTCACTATAAGGAAGCACATAATACATTGGGTTTGTTATAGTGAAGTGTTCACTATAAGGAAGCACATAATACATTGGGTTTGTTATAGTGAAGTGTTCACAATAATGAAGCACATAATACGTTGTTTGTTACAGTGAAGTGTTTACTATAATGAAGCACATAATACATTAGGGTTTGTTAAAGTGAAGTGTTCACTATAATGAAGCACATAATACATTAGGGTTTGTTATAGTGAAGTGTTCACTATAAGGAAGCACATAATGCATTGGGTTTGTTATAGTGAAGTGTTCATTTTAATGAAGCACATAATACATTGGGTTTGTTACAGTGAAGTGTTCACTATAATGAAGCACATAATACATTAGGGTTTGTTAAAGTGAAGTGTTCACTATAATGAAGCACATAATGCATTGGGTTTGTTACAGTGAAGTGTTCACTATAATGAAGCACATAATACATTAGGGTTTGTTATAGTGAAGTGTCCACTATAATGAAGCACATAATACATTGGGTTTGTTACAGTGAA